GGGGGCATCCCACTCCTACTTCTATTACAGTTATTCATGGTGGTGATGGGGATTAATATGGTGTCCAGTGGAGTGTCTGATCAGGATCTGCACTGCTTTCTCTGCAAAGAGGACCTAGACTATGGTCTTTATTGAAGTCTGACAGTAAAGTATTAATTAAGCATTCTAACTCCTGTTTTACAAATAAAAAAAAAGTGAAGGCCACTAACCTGAAGCAACTTGTCCAAGGTCTTGTCACTGAGGTCTGTCTGACTCTAAGACCAGCACTGTCTCTGTGTTCAGGGCCTCACCTGGGAGCACATGTTGGCTGTTTCCCTTACCATTCTCTAATGGTGCTTAAATAGCTAATGTGCATTTTGATGCTGTTTTTCAGTTATTTTTTGAGTTAAAAGTAGAAAAGCCTTTGAGAACCTAGCTTTTAAAAAAAAATCCTAAACATTTTATATATTTCAGAACAAAATAATATTTTTAAATGGGTCGGTAGAGCACAAAGCATCAAAGAGCTCATGGGTACAGCCTGTAACTTCCTGGAGCTCTGTATTCTTGTCAGATCTTAACAAATACTTCTCTAGATAATTGCTTAATTATTATATCTGTCAAGAAAAAAGCCTTCACAGCCATCAAGTACTGCATATAAAAATACCCTTTAATCCCAGACGTGGAAAAACCATTCCCTGTGATTTCAGTAAAGCAGAATCCCCATGGTACCTAATCATTCTCAGATTCCTAAGGACAAGAGTAGATGGAGAACAAGAGCCCATGGGGAGAAGCAAGGGGAAAGATTGTTCTCACCTTTGTGTCCCTTTCATTGAAGGCCCCCCAAATATTTTAAGTTTTTGCAAAATGGAAACAGAGAAGGAATGCAGTCTGAATCGTGCCAATTTAATAAAATAATGTGGTGCTGTAGAAATGAGTCCAAAAGATCTGGACTTTCAACTCAGCATTGCTGCTCTTTCTGAAATGTACTAGGGGAGATAAAATGTGGTTTTGTGTTACATGGAAATGTCAGGATCTACCCCATGATTGTTGAGAGAATTCAATGAAATAATGTATTCAAAGTCCCTAAAGCTGTGCTGAGCGTTTACTAGGGGTTCCAACAGTTATATTGCTGATCCTCATTATTTGCAGATTCCATTTTTGCAAATTCACCTTCTTGCTAAAATGTATTTGTGACTCTAAAATAGTGTTCATGGTGCTTTTGTGGTCACTCACAGACATGGGGTAAGTGGTAAAAATATAAGTCGCCCAGCAGGCGAATTCCCAGCTGAAGTGGGACAAGGTGACACTCTGTCTTCTTGCTTTAGCTCTTACACCATAAACAAGCTCTCAGGCTATTTCATGCCTCATTTTAAAAATGTTTGTGCTTTTTCTGTTTAGCAAAGCACAGTGCTGATGTGCTGTCTAGTGTTGTAAGCCCAAGAAAGCTGTATGTGCCCTAGGGAGAAAAACTTCATTCAGTCATGAGTCACCCTGCTGTTGGCCAGGAGTCTTGTTCTGTTCAGGCCCTCAGTGAATTGGATGATGCCCACCCACATTGGTGAGGGAGAGCTATATTCAGTCTACAGATTCAAATGCTAACCTCTTTCAGAAACAACCTCACAGATACACTCAGAAATGATGTTCTGCCAACTATCTGGGAATCCCTCAGCCCAGTCAAATTGACACATAAAATTAACCATCACACTCAAGTGTTTATTTATTACATCCCTCCTCAAGTTCCAAAAGATGATGGCATTCCTCAGCAGTCCCTACATCTCTTCGGGGCGTTTATCCCACTCCTACTTCTATTACAGTTATTCATAGTGGTGATGGGGATTAATATGGTGTCCAGTAGAGTGCTTGATCCCAGCCATCAAGTACAGTATTTTATGATTTTATACAGAGAGCATAACTATGGTGACCAATAAGAACTGACTATATTCACCGGTAGCAAAGGCATACACCTATAATCCCAGAGGCTCTGGAAGGAAGGAGGATCACAAGTTCAAAGCCAGCCTCAGCAAAAGCAAGGCACTAAGCAACTCAGTGAGACCCTGTCTCTAAATAAAATACAAAATAGGGCTGGGGATGTGGCTCAGTGTTTGAATGCCCCTGAGTTCAATCTCCACTACCAAAAAAAAAAAAAAAGAAAAGAAAAATTGACTGTATTCTATATAGTTCCTATGTTAGAAAGGTTAAATATTATTGGCTAACAAAGTAACACAACAACTCCATGACTTAAAACGATAGAAGTTTAATTTTTCACGTCTGTAATGTCTCATCAGGTGTTTGAAAGAAAATCTTACAAAGGTGAGCCAGAAACCATACTAAAGCAACTTGGATGCAGGCTCACAATAATTGAAACAAGGATAAATTATCAGCTATTTGTATTTGACATTTTCTTTCACAGAGGCATCCTTTCATCTTATGGCTCTGCTAACACATTGGACCTTTGCTTATGGAGAAAGGAGTCCTGGGTAGAAGACCTTAAGAGCCAGCCCCTCTCATGTGTCTTAGTTAAAAGATGAAGTCCTTACATAATGAGACCTTTCTTTATTCCTTTTTTTCTATTAATACTTCAGCCAAACCTTTAATCTCTGACTGAAAATATTTTTGCCACCGAACAAAAGATTATGTAAAGAATATACCCAATGCCTCTGTGAAAGAAAATGTCAAATACAAATAGCTGATAATTTATACTTGTTTCAATTAAATTGTAAGCCTGCATCCAAGTTGCTTTAGTGGCTATAAAACAGTAGCTTTATCTGACTTATTATTATATTTATCAGGTTTTGAAAAAAACAACATTGAGACTCCTTGAAAAAAGCATGCACTATCTCTGATATCTCTGCTTCGATTTACTATGGCCTTATGCTGTGGCCTTATGCAGTCCTCTATTCTCATTTTAATATTGAGGAAAGAGGAAGTAACAATGTTTATCAGTACCTCCCACCCCAGCCTTTAGAGAGAATATTATACAAGAAAAGTGTAGTCTTGTTAAAGGATCACCTTTTTGGAGTTCTTAGGAAATTCCATGCATCTCTTTAGAATTATAAGGAAAATCATCATGAATTTTTTTTCCCAAAAGTTGCATTTACCTGTATATTTTCTTCCATTTGTAACTTTTATATAATTTTAGGGGATTTTTAAATCCTGCTGAACAGAGGCTGATACTATATGATCAAGCATTACCATGTGTAGGTATATACCTAAAATAATCAAAAGCAAGGTCCTAAGGAGATGTTTGTACACCAAGGCCCACAGCAGCATTTTTCACAACTTTTTAGAGCAATTCAGGTGCCCAGCAACAGATGAACGGTTAAACAAAATATGGTATTGACATGGAATAATCAGGAATGAGTTCTGATATATGCTACAACATGAATGAACATAGAAAACATTAATGCTAAATGAAATAAGCCAGACTCAGGCAAATATTGTATGGTCCCACATAAGTGAAGTACTTACAAGAGGAAAATTCATGATACAGAAAGTAGAACAGAGTGGGTGGTGGGGAGATCAATGAGGAGTTATTGTTTAATGGGTAGAGTTTTTCTTTGGGATGGTGGAAAATATTTGGGAAGGGATAAGGTCATTGTCTAAAACTCTTGTTAATGTACTTAACACCACTGAATGGTTTACTTAAAAATAGTTAAAACAATACATTTCATATTATTTTTATTCTGCCACAATAAATAAAAATCACATTGAAAGGAGACTGGACTTTGGACCTTTAAGCCTGAGTTCCAGTCCAAGGTCAACCAGGGGGTATGACTTTGAGCAAAGAACTTCATGTCTCTGAGTGGCATATTGCTTACCTATAAAAATGAGAATGTAACTACTGGCCTTAGAGGATTGTCCTAGAAATTAATGTGATTGACCTGTCACATAATAGGCACTGTGTAAAAAGATAAAGAGAACTAACGTATTAAGTAAGCAAAATCCAGTAGACTATGTGAAGGTTAAAAGGGTCATAATTGTGGGGATTCTTTAATATAGGTTTTTAGTCCTTACAGTGTGACTTGATATGGGTTTTAAGATAGTCATCTGCATCCAGACACACGTGTGCTCTGCAGACAAGTACATTTATCTGGAGATTAGATATCAACTATTTGAAATAGATATCAACTATTTGAAATATCTGAACTAGAACCTTATTTGCAGAATCATGCCTAAAAGCCCTAGGTGTGCAAATGCCAGATTAAAGTCTATGTAGAGGAGAAGTGCATGCCCACACCCAGAGGTTGTGCAGAAACTATGATATGGGGACAGCAAGGAAAGTCAGAGCTGACAGGAGAGAAAGAGGCAGGAGAATGACTAAGGCCCCTGGAAGCTTTGCTTGAGGCTTGCGTCATGAATAATGTTAAGCCTGTGACATTCAGAAACGGTCAAATTTCCTTCTGTTCGCTCTGCTTAGGAAGGTGGGAGTCTATGCAGTATGCATTGAAAAGGATAAAACTGCAGGCTCAATGTTAATGATGTGGATTTCAGTTATCTGGAAAAATCCTTATAGAAGGAAATGTGGCTGTTTCTCTATATACTCGATTTTTCTTTTTTTTAGAGAAAGAATTTTTTTTATATTTATTTTTTAGTTTTCGGTGGACACAACATCTTTATTTTTATGTGGTGCTGAGGATAGAACCCAGCACCCCGCGCATGCCAGGCGAGCGCGCTACCGCTTGAGCCACATCCCCAGCCCAATATATACTCCGATTTTTATTGAGACAAAAATAGCTGAATTCTATCAGCTTTATCACCTAATTATCTCTAGAATCTGGTCAGTTCCCAGCATTTAGCCTGAGGCCAACCTTGCACTGGGCTCTGCGAGTGAATGAATGAATTCAATGAATTAATGAACAAGCCAAAGAAGGAAACCGTGTACAATATGCATGTGTCTGTAACACATGAACTGCCTGCATATAAAGAAAGACATCCATGTTTAAAACTACCCTTCTTTTTCTTTTCCAGAGCAGAAACCCCTCTCTTGGGACCATTCATAAATAAGAGACACCAACACTGCCATGCCAGTGCCGCCGCCGCCCCCACCTCCTCTGCCTCCACCTCCCCCGCCTCTAGGAGCTCCTCCCCCACCTCTGGGAGCTCCTCCCCCTCCCCCACCATCAGCACCTCCGGTAAGACCTGTTTTATTTTCTGTCTGGTTTGCTTTGGAGCATCGGGTGCTTGGATTACACTATAGGGAAAGGTTCTCAATGTTCAGAAGCAACCACTACCTAGCTCCGCTGAGGCAGGTGGACCTCAGGCAGCTCTGACAGCTTCAGGATCTGATTCCAAACCAGCCTGGGTCAGGTATCTGTCTCTTCTATTCCTCAGCAGCACCCACCTGCACTGTTCGCACCACCTCCCTTTGACTCCTTGAGTTTTCCTACGTGTCTTTCCACCTCACTCGGAGCCTCATGTGCCAGGCCCTGCCAAAGCGCACAGCTGAGGAGGCATTGCAAAATCAAGTTCCGGTGGTAAATGGGAAGGTGATAGATAAAGACACCTTGGACTTCAGTCCCTGGTTCTACGTTCAAGCAAGTCAAGTGTCATGTGAAATGCCACAATGAAAAATATAAATCACTAAAAACTTCCCTGTCTGCACAAGACTGAATTCTTTCTGTTTCAGTTTGTGCTACTGGACACTCTCCTGGTTTCATAGTTTGGTTTGGGTTAAGTAGGGGCCACAGAGGGTGGTCATTTTGTTTTGGAACATGGATTCTCAAATCTCGTCACCACTGATATTTGGGACCGATAATTCTTGTTGGAGGAGCGAGCTGCCCTGTTCATTTTAGGATACTTAATCACAACCCTAGCCTCTGCCTACCAGGTGCCAGTAGAATCCCTCAAACATGGCAATAAAAAATGTCCCTGGGTATTGTGAAATGTCCCCGGATGGGGGACAAAATATATGGAAAGAATAGGAATAAGTATTAAAGTTTCCCTGATGAATTCTACCCCACACGGTAGAATTCAGTCATCATGAAGTGTTGAGCGATTTATAAGTGAATGAAACATAACCAAATTATCATATGGATCCTAAACAGATTGCTCCCACTGAGGAACAGTTTATAATAATTTTAAATATGATGATACAGGATGAATCACCAGAATAAATGAACTTACCAAAACCCATGTTTTTGGAGATTTGGGGAATGACCTATTTTTAAACCTTGCTGGTGACCCACAGCTATCTGGGCTCAATACATGTGGAAAAAGCCTTTCTGGAATTCTCTAGTAGATAAAGCAAACCTGAATGAATTTCCCCTGGTTTTAATTTAAAGACTAATTTAAGTATTTAACCCTAAAAAAACCAAAAGGAATTTATACACGGATATGGACAACAAAACTCTTTATTCTAGTGAAAAGAAATAGATCTTAAGTGGTTTATGATACCTTAAATGTATTATGTTATGCTGTTAATTAAAAACTTTATTAAGCTCTGGTGTTAATTAAAAATTACATCTATGCTGATTATGAAAAGGTAGAGAAAAATGGTGAATTAACAACATAATTTTGCATATAATGAAATCAGCTATAAATATCAAAGATTAGAAGAAATTCAATAATACTGGTAATAAATTTTAATATTTCATTAGGGAATTTGTTTCCTTTAAAGATGCTAAAATTCAAAATAAATAATCATAATTCTGTATTTGGTTAGTGTTTTGCATTCCCTACCTCATTTCTTTTTTTCAACCCTCCCCCATTTTGGGCCATCTATCTTACAGAAGAACAGGTCAATTTGAGAGGAAACTAACCACGTACATTTTAATATTCTTTGAAACATTTTTCTGCAAACTTGGAAAAATATTTACAATATATATTAAAGACAAAAATTAATGTCCTTAGTATATAAAGAGCTCTTACAGATCAGTATAAAAAAGGGTAAATAGAGAAATGGGTATGGAATAGGATGGAGCAGAGGAAATACAAATATTTTGACCTCCACTACAGTTGAATCAATGTAAATTAAACCTACAGGTTGAGCTTGCCTAATCCAAAAACCTAGTATCTAAAATGCTCCATCTTGAGCATCATGTCCTTTTTGAACATTAACATGATGCTCACAATGATTTGGGTTTTGTAGCATTTCAGATTTAGGATTTTTGATTAGGGATGCTCAATCAGTATAGTCTATGTAAGTATTTCAAAATCTGAATGCATCAGAAATCTGAAACCCTCTGGTCCCAGCATGTCAGGTAAGGGATGTTCATCTTGTAATGAGAAACCATTTTCCTCCATCAATTTGATAATGGCACATCTTAAATGTTGGCTGGAGTGTTAGTAACCAGGTTCTTATAATACTTAGTTAGGGGCAAAAAAAAAGTGTTATAATTCCCTAAGACACAATTTGTCAATAAAGACCAAACCCTTCAAAAAATGAATATACTCTATGACCTAGTTTTACCTCAAGCAATGTTTCTTTAACTATTCATCACAGATTAATAGAAATACAGGATATCAATGAAAGTATTACTTATAGTAATACTTTCATTACTTATAGTAGTAACCAAAAAAAAAAAGAAAAGAACTAAAATTCTAATTTTCAATTTAATAAATAAATAATTCGCAAAATGGTATGTATGCGGCAGCCATTAAAGTTACATTCAAATTATTTTGCAATTTCCACTGTATAATTTATTCAACAACAGCCATCCATGAAAGCTGAAATCACTTCATGAAAGGTTGTTTGGGTTCTCAGGATGTTCTCAGGACCCCAATTCCTGTTCTCAGGAATTTTGACAATAAATGTCAACCACAGATGACAGTGTGTGTGCGTGTGTGTGCGCTGTATTGAGGATCCAGCTCAGTGGCCTTTTGGATGGTAGGCAAGTACTCTACCACTGAGCTATACTCCAGCTCTTTTTGGGGGAAGAGGGGGTACAGACTACTTTTAATTACAAAGGGGAAAATTTCCCCTTAAAATGGATCAAACTTAGTATCAGCTATAGTGGAATGACTGACAGCACAAGCCACTGTGATACATTGAGAACTACACAGCATCACCCTGTAGTAATCTGCTGAAAATGAATGTACTCATGAGCAAACATTCAGACACATCCAGAATATGGGACATAGAGTCTGGCAAGCTGGAGCCCATGGCCCAAATCCATACACATCACCCATTTTCTTACAGCCCTTGAGCTAAGAATGGCTTTTACATTTCCAAATATCTGGAAAAAAATCAAAAGTAAAGTTTCATGGCCCATGAAAATTATGTGGAATCTTAGCCCTTAAATAGAGTTAATTGGAGCACAGCCTTCATTTACATATTGTCTGTGGCTGTTTTTATGCTACAGAGGCAGAAACACCAATTAAGGAAAATGTGATTTCCCCCTCAAACAGAATTCCATTCTTCTAATGAGTAGACATTTATTTTAAATACTGACTCAATTATTATTAACATATTTTGAATTTTGACAATAAATATTTTGTGGAAATTTGTTGTCTCTTTTGTTATATAAGTACATACATGTTATCCTTGATTTTGCCTCTTGGCTCACAGTGCCTAAAATATTTACTGTCTGGTCCTCTCCAGAAAAGATTTGCCAACACCTGTTCCACAGCCAGCTGGCCTGGCTCAGCCTTCCACTCGTCACCAGCATCCAGTGGTCGTGGTACACTTGCATCAGCTCTTAGCCTCTATGCTTCATGTCTCAGCATCCCCTCTCAACTGTGGCCCACCCCACCTTGCCTGATCTGGCCCCTGCCTGCCTCTCCTACTGAGCCCCTCTCCTGGGGTCTCCCACCTTAGATCTCTGGCATGGCTGTCCTTTCCACTCGGAAGACCCTTTCTGCTACTCTCAGCTCAGAGGTCACTTCTTCCTATGCCACACTGGCTTTAGACATATTTTTTTAAACTCTCCTTCAGGTCTGTGATGCATCTTTAACTCTGGTTTGTGTTTGATGTTTTGTCATTTTTTTGTGTGTGTCCCTTGTACCTGGCTTGAAATAAGCAAGAATGAGTGAGTAGGTGAGTGGACGAATGAATGAGTATCTGTGTGAGTAGGGTTTGGAAATGGAGTTGAAGTTTTTCATAACCAGTGCTCAGAACTCCAAACATCAATGCTGTTGAAGAAACAATTACTCAGTGATACTTGTTAAAGGGCTGGAAAGAAGACTGTTCAGACCACAGTGACAGGCACCACTGCAGTGGGAGTTTCCCGTGGGGGAGAGAGATTGGGCTCAACTGAATACAGCGTGAGCAAGTAGGAATTTGTAGCCAAGGGATATGTGGTCAAGGAAACATCAGGATTCTTGCTGAGGACAGGCCGGGTTGATCAGACCCCAGCTAGGGGAAGGTAGAGACAACCAAATAGAGAGCGTTATCTAAACTAACTTAGCCAAGTTCTTTGCCAAAACTGGATTTTGCAAGGAAGTACATAAATGAACCTAGGAGAAGGTGCGGAAGCTGACTACAGCTAGGTCAAGCGGAAAATCCTTGTCAATGCAGAGATTCCCCCCCATCTCTTTGCTCCCCACTTCCCTGTCTTCATCCCCCCATTTCTGATGCATATCTTCTCTTTTTCCAAGAATGTGGGAGCAGAGGAGGGAGAAGGGCCAGGGGCCTGCTGGAGCTCTGGAGTGAGCCCTCTCTAGACCCGGACGGCTCTGCCATCCTGTTTTCCTGCAGCTGATTTCTCTGTCTTTCCAGCAAGACTCCTTTGTCTCAGCCTTTTAAAATCCAGTAACAATATCAAAATTGCCCTCGGGGTGCTTTGGTCCTCTTATACTTAAATTATTGTTGCTTTGTCTACCTAAATTATTGTTGCTTTTAACATATCTAAAAAAATATATGATGGGTTTGATTTTTAAAATGCAGCAGAATTGTACTGAACTTTTGCTTTCAAATGTTCTTTGACCCCTCCTGTTCAAGTGTCCTTGGACCTAGTATGCAAGCTGGGTGAATCAGCTCCTTGAGGGCCTGTGAGGTTTTTTCTTGCTACAATCCCCTTTGACACGTGGTACATTCTGTCCAAGAGGAAGCAAATGTAGTCACTCACCAGCTGATACATTTTGGAGTTGGGTTGCCCAGGCAGAGTCTGACAGGTTCCTGGCCACAACACATGTATTTATTTATAAAATAGATTTGTGGATTTTTGTGGCATTATTTTTTTAATTTTAGTTGTCA